GTGTAACCCCCTTTATCAGCAGGGTTTACTTCAGGGATTTGTGATCTAATTGAAAATATAAACTGTCTAAGTTCGTTCAAGGAGCTTTGGGGTATTTTTCCTTTTAAATCAAAATTCTCAATTTAAATGAACAACTGAAATATCATGAAAAAGTCAAATAAACTAATGCCATACACAAGAATTTAAGTTAGCCAGAAATGTATTTTGTAAGGCAATCAATTTAAGTGCTCTTTGTTCTGGCACTTTAAAACCAAAGTGATTAACATTGAATGACACTCAATCTCCAACAATTAATTGAGCTTCATAACAGATAACAACACTGCAATTGTAACCCAAGGAAACTGATTTTTTTTTTTGAAAATCCAAGTTTGGAAAGAAATTTTCTCAGTCCCATGTAATGTGTGGAAAAAAAAATCTCAGTCCCATGTAATGTGTGGAAAAAACAATATCTCAGTCCTACCACTTCACCGGGAATACCATTCAGTTAATCAAGTACGGAAGGAAAAAAACTGATGAGTTGACCGAGTGCGACGAGATGATGAAGAGCAGAAGAGTTGATAGAATGTGACGAGATGAAGAGAATTTGTTCCGGAGGACTCCACTCAGATGATTCAGGTCCAAATGTATCACCGAACAACAGTCCAAGGGAACAAAACCAGTCTGCACAAATGTACATTTTAAATTGATTACATCAACAACATCAGAACACGTAAACCATTCCTTGTAAGAGAGATCACATGTATTTTTAACTCATATTTTCCTTTTCCTCCTCCTATGAAATAAAGTTTAAGAAGCAACCCTGCTTTGAACACTTTTTTTCCAGTTTGAGAGCTAGCAATACACTTTTACATAAATCAATTTAACAGAGTTACATTTTATACATTAGCAATTTCACTCGATGTGAAAAACACAATAAGCATGAGCATTGCACACCTCGTGCTCTCCTTGACTATCAAAGCTAGTATCGTGGTGCTATACTTAGCTGCTCTCATCTTCAACACCCACATGAACAATTTAACCAAAATGTCATTTTCCTTTGACATGAATACATTCTGACTGGTTTTGCTCAAATAATAACACAATGACAACAAAATATTTTGTTACAAGCAGAATACACTCACCAGAATGTCTCAGAAAAGTCACGGAAAGCAATAAGTCTACGACTTCTCTTCCACAGTATTTCAAATTCAACCTCCCAGCTGACATATAAACAATAAACCAGCTATTCAAAGACAATTTGCAACATAAATGCTTATTTTAATCAGCATAGTCAAAATTACTCACACGCTCTGCGTTTTGTCCGTGCTTCATGCACATTCACTCTGCGCGCTATTGCAGTGCACTCTCTCCCCGCATTAACTACCCAACCTCTTAAAGGGGCAGTACCAGGTTTTAAAAAAATGAGACTAAGTAAAACAGGATAGAAATATCAAGGGTTACAGTGAGAATCAAGATATTTCATGATATAGTTAATACGTTTATGGGTTGTTTAGAATAAAAAGGAAAAAATAAATAAAACATAAGTGCTGTTGTGGCTGCTGTGTGTCACATGACGACCCCAGAATTGGCCCAAATACACTGGCCCGAGTCCGGCTGCCAAAATAAAACACTTAGCTGATCAGTTTTAGTACCCAGACTCGGGCCAGTACCGAGTTAACACCACCGGCATTGGGCCACAATCACACTGACGAGAGATAAAACACTTAGCCAGTACTGGCCCGAGTCTGGGTACTGAAACTGGGCCAACACCACCAGCATTGGGCCACAATCACACCGACGAGTAATGAAACACTTAGCCAGTACTGGCCCAAGTCTGGGTACTGAAACTGGGCCAACACCAACAGCATTGGGCCACAATCACACCGACGAGTGGCCCAATGCCGGCTCAGTTTCAGTACCCAAACTCGGGCCAGTACTCGCTAATGGCGCTTTTCCACTGCATGGTATGGCTCGGTACGGTTCACTTTTGGGGGGTTTTCCACTGGGTACAGTACCTGGTACCTGGTACTTTTTTTGTACCACCTCGGTTGAGGTTCCAAGTGAACCGTACCGTTACTAAAACGTGACGTGTAAACTCTGCTGATCACGGATTGGCCGGAGAGAATCGTTACTACCTGCGTCACTGAACTTGCGACACAAACACAACAAAACCGCTAGATTTAAATCAGCACAGCCAGCGAATGATCGAACGCAACTGTTTTGAACGAGCGCACCTTTTTTAACAACCAAAAAGTGGCTGTTTTAGCTGTCTGTTGAGGAAATACAGACGTTCCTCTAGTTGATAGCAGAGGAGCGGATCCAGCAAAAGCTTGATGGGACGAGGCAGAATGACAAAAGTTTTTCAGCAGTCGCGGCAGTAGAGGCGGCGCAACTATAAACAACACGTGAATAATCACGCCCACTCTAAAGCGGTACTGAACTGCAGTGGAAACACAAACCGCGCCGAGCCGAACCGTGCCGTGCCGTACTGAGCTGTACCAAGCCGAGTCGTACCACGCAGTGGAAAAGTGCCATAATTTAGCTCCTACTTCAGAGTAGGGTCTAAAATAGTTCTATAGGAACTGAAGTGTACGCTGATTGGCCAAACAAAACACCAGCTACCCTGCATTTTTAAAAAGCCATGCAAACATATTTATTCCATGAACATAGAAAACAGCAATAACGGCATGTACCTGTTGTCTGCAGTGTTGTGTTCTTTTCTCAGCCTCGATGATACTGCAAATTGTCATAGGATATTTAATCAGATTTTCATGCTTTTTCAATCGCATGAGTAAGAGTCATAATGCTTGAATAAAGACGGCCCTGTCGGCTGCTTCAGAGTTCCTGCTGCCGGTGCAAATGCAACCAGGAAAACGGCCCGAGGGAGAAATTTGTTCTCTAGAAACGACCCTGCAGGCTACGTGGTGCGAAAGCACCTAATGTCAGCGGAGACCGTGTTAACTAAATGAGCCCCAAAGACAGATCCCGAGCGAAGACCTCGTCACCTCGACGGCCATCAGCACAAGACCACGAAAACCAGACGAGTCCTCTGCTCAATCTGACTTGCGTTGCAGCCTGGAATTCAGCCACACCATGCTTGTTTTCTCCATTTTTGTCACAGATGGAGTTTTGGTTCCTTGCCACTGTCGCCTTTGACTTGTTTAGTTGGAGACACAATTTCCTGCAGTATTGTTGACTTGATTGTACAGACACTATTGGAATAGAACTGAACTGAGCTGGATGATGGCATCACTGAATCAACGATGAACCGACATTAAGTGAACAACTGACTGTTTTCTATTGTCCTTTTGCATTATTAGCACACGTTTTTTCTGTTTAACACTGTAAAGCTGCTTTGACACGATCTGTATTGTATAAAGCGCTATATAAATAAAGGTGACTTGACAAACAGTTGCTGGTAGCCATTGACTCCCATAGTATATTTTTCCCATAATATGAAAGCCAATGGCTACCAGCGACATTCTTCAAAATATTTCGTTTTCAACTCATGCAACTTTGGAACAACCTGATGGTGAGTAAATGATGCCACAATTTTAATTTAGCTTGAACTGTGTCTTGAAGTTTTGTGGCTTATACCCTAATGTAAAAAAGAAGCCTAAACCAGCATAAGATGGTCTTAGGTGGTCTACTGGTCAGACTAGGTGACCATCTAAACCAGCTTGTCTAAGTTGGAAGACTAGGCTAAGACCAGCTTAGTTTAAGAAGTCTTTTTTCTGCATGGTAGTGCATATCTGTTAGCTTTGAAGCTGTTTATATGCTAATGTCAACAAAACCAACTTACAATAAAAGCACAAATGCATGCAAATGTTTAAAAAGTATTACAGTAACACATCGTTTCACTTGTTAACTTGACCTTGTTGTGAAGTTACATCCAGTCTGGAATGTCCATTGGGAGACACAAATGAGAGTTTGACGAGCTGATGGATGTTTTGTTTGTGTGTTTCAGTGGCGGATGAGAGTAATGTGGCCTCCATTCAAGGACAGAGATCTGGTAAGAACTTGAACACACACACACACACACACAC